GATATGAAAACTTTTTTCTTCTTTACTTGTTTAAATATTAATTTACGATTCCTAACCTGCTAATTTTCTGACTCCAATTTCGACAAGAATTCTAAAAATATACTGAGCATGGTCATTATCGAAAACCTTGTATGTTTTGATTGAATCAATAGATGTATTGGAAAAAAAGAAAACAGTTTCTAAGGACATTAGAGAGATTTTGCGAAGCGTTACAGTTTTACAAACTCTAACGGTAACGTTATTTGTGCTTCATAGCGCACGCGCCAAAATTTCCCTACTAATCGCTGTTTCTCTAAGAAGCAGATTATAAGGTTAATAGCGGTGGACTTATGACAGTCGCTATGCAAAATCTCTCTAACTATAGTGACATTTTCCCTTATCTGAGACATAAAAGTAAATATTACCTGGATATTTGGTAAGGTAAGTCTTTTTCACTATGGTGTTATCATTATCTTGGAAGATGTGAGTAAGGAGAGAAGGAGTAGGCTTAGCTAACACTAATTCCCCTCTTTCACCAGTAACAGATTCACCTGCAATTATTTTTAAAAATGGGAAGCACTTTACTGAAATTCAGGTTATAGGTAGATGTATTTGAATATTGTAATAATTTTTCATTGATATTTCAGTAAAATATATGAAAATTCAGAGTGAAAAATAAGCAAAACAAGAAATGTTTGAGAACAAAAAACAAAGCAAAAATAGGGAAGTGTGTTTGAAATTTATAAAGTGGTCTGTTAAGAAAAGCATGAGAAATACAAAAATCGTTTGCGTCATTCTGTAGTTGACTATAATAGTGAATTAGAATTTTGCAATAAAATTGTTTTAGCTTTCTTTAAGTTAAATTTTTGATAAAACATATTAAGATTTGAGCATTCTATTTTTTTTGGATAAAATAACAGATTTTTTAAGCATAAATTCAAAATAATCGGAATTTTTACACATTATGATTAAATTTTGAATAACGGAAAATATTACCACTTCATTAACAATCGTAATAACAAAAATGAAAGATTAGTTCCAAAATAATTATAATTTTAAAATTATGTAACTTTTATATAAGAGAATTAGTTTTTACAAACATATTAAAATATATTAAACATATTAGATTAACATTAAACATAGCATTGGATTTACGAACAACGTTGGCCCACCTAATAGGGTGCCCTTGAAAGAGTGGTCAACAAATCTGTCCTTATAAGTCTGCATTGTCGAATGTCAAAACAGGTAGGCATTAGGAAAAAAAGGATAAAACGATACAGAAGGATCATTGCCTACCTTTACTATTGATGCATCGAATGTCCATTCCTAAACTGAAAACTTGAAGTTCTGGGGCATGTGAAGGTAAATTTATATCGAGTCCAGTAAATGATCCAAAGCTTTCAGTCGCTCCTGTATGAAGAGAAAACGATTGCACTTTAATTGCTATACAAATTGCTAGCTTTATGACAAAATATAACATTAACAATGTGTGGTGTGATCATGGGATCACCACAATGCTTACTTTTCCCAATACCTACTGGGCTGTCTCCAACAGAAGCGCCCTCTTCGTTGCCTTTGCAGGATCTCTAGGGCTCGACTCCTAGCTCGTCTTTAGAGATTCTCGCAACCGCTAGGGAGGGGACGTTATCTTTTGGAGATAGACCAGTATTCCCCGTGGATCTTAGGTGTGAGCAGTTGCTTTTTTAGAGCTTCGTTTTTTTGATGTTTTCCCCCTGTGTGCTCTATAGTCAATTTTTTGAATTTTACCATTTTATAAGTTTCTGTGACCTTATCTTCTAATTATTTGATGCATTATAAAATTCTACAAAAAAGCGTTAACTACTTCATAATGTTAATTTAAATTTCTATCTACTCCCTGGAGCACACAGGGAGGACCCAACATCCACGTGGTGGATTTTCCCTTTTTGTAAATTTGTGAGTCATGTACTAGAAGTGAATGTTATCTAAGAACTAAAACAAATAAAAGATGGATAACCTTTTTTCTACGAAATCCTGTGATTTTTTTGTTCCCAAAGATCTACCTGTCTTCGGCGTTTTTAGAAAGAGGATTTGTCGAATATATTATCTGCAGCTTATCAGATGATAAATTCCAAAAAAAAAAAAATAATCTCCAAGAATCCAGTAAAATTCATCACCACACCACCTGCCCTGATGATTCACATTATGTCTCTTCTTCGAACCTACCCCCCCGGCACAATGCTATTTAATATCCCAGAAAGTTTCATAAGAATACAAAGTCCATCTTCAAGTGTAACCCAACAAGCGAATAAAGATTGTTTGTGCTCTATCTATAATAGAACTAAAGAATCTAAGATAGGTTAGAGTTACGACTTATGGGTAACAATCTAAGATAGACTG